TAATTCAGTTTGATGTAACTACTGCTTTCCTGTATGGCGAGTTGAAGGAAAATATTCTGATGACAGCACCTGAGGGACTAGACTGCAAGCCCAATATGGTATGTAAACTTGTAAAATCATTGTATGAATTGAAACAGGCGCCTAGATGCTGGAACACTAAATTCAGCTCAGTTCTTAATAAGTTTGGTTTTGAGAAAAGCAAAGCAGATCAGTGTGTTTACGTTGGAACAATAAATGATTTCAAATGTTACCTGTGCCTTTATGTTGATGACGGTCTTCTGTTCTGTAAAAATAATTCTGCAATGATGGCAGTAATTCATGATTTACAAACAAACTTTGAAATAAAAGTATATTCTGAGGTAACTAATTTTATTGGGATGCAAATTGAAAAACACAGTAATTTTATTCATATCCATCAGACCAAATACATTGATCAGTTGTTAAGGAAATTCAACATGCAGAATGCTAATCCCAACTATATACCTGCTGATCCGAATGTAAAGTTGCAGAAACCTGAAAATGCACCCAAGAAAAGTTATCCTTACCGAGAAGCAGTTGGATCACTGATACATGTAGCTACGGTGAGCAGACCTGATATAATGTTTGCTGTCAACCAGGTGAGTCGATACATTCATTCCCACAATGAATCTCACTGGAATGCTATTAAGAAAATATTTAAATACCTGAAAGAAACAAAAAGTTATGGAATTTGCTACATATCTAACTCTGACAGTAATGATTTAATTGGATACAGCGATTCAGATTTTGCTAATGACTTAGAAAAGAGACGCTCTATAACTGGCTACGTTTTCCTCAAAAGTGGAGCAGCTATCACATGGTCATCTCAACGTCAGCCTACTGTGGCTTTATCCACGACAGAAGCCGAATTCATCGCTGCTTGTGCAGCAACTAAAGAAGCCATGTGGCTTAGACAATTACTTAGTGATATAGGTAAATTTACACAAAAATCCGTGTGCATTAATATTGACAATCAGAGTGCAATAAATGTGATTAAAAACAGCGAATTTCATAAGCGGTGCAAACACATCGATGTTAAGTATCATTTCATAAAAGAAAAATACTATGAAAATGTTATTAGTCTAAACTATGTACCCACTGACAGTCAGTATACTGATATGTTTACAAAGGCTTTGCCTAAAGATAAATTTATATTTATGAGAAATAATATTGGAATGTCAAAACTTGTTAATTAGTTTGTACTTGTGCAGTAGAGTTATATAAATGTGTTGTATTGTAGCGAATATTAAAATTGTTACTATGTAAAGCCGATGAAGGGCTTGAATTTAGTAGGGGTATTGAGATATTAGTTGTCTATGTTTTGTATGTATACTCTATGTTAAATTTCAATCCCTCTCTCTGGTTAAGATGGCGTTACTACTCTGTGGACATCAATAAAAGACAGTCTGTTGTACTACAAAAGTTTTATTAAATCTCCACTTTATACAACAAAAATAACAGTTAAAAACTTTCTGCTCAAAGTAAATTTACGGACGAAGTCGCGGGCAAAACTACCCATGCTAAAAATGCGATAATAACTCTGTCTATGTCTTTCCGTCACGCCTAAACTACTGAACAGATTTGGATGAAATTTGGTACAGACATAGTTTGGAACTCGAGAAAGGACATAGGATAGTTTTTATCCCAAAAATCCTGCGGGAGCGGGAACTTCTCAAAAATCCCGCGAGATCGGGAACTGTGGGTAAAACCAAAAATCTGCCGGAAGTCACTATTCCACGCGAACGAAGTCGCGGGCAAAAGCTAGTTACTTATATATTTTTTTAATTATAATTTGTCAGGTCTGGAGAGGCTAAAAACTACGTCATAATTCATATTTCTATTTTTATTTAACAGTGTATTAATTATGTTTGTGTACGTAGAATGTACTTTTTTGGCCATGTCCTTTCACTCACACAGAAGCGTGCGTAAATGTGTGCGTAGAGTAGCTGCGTTCGCTTTCTTTATAGTTAGAGTAACCGATTTTGAACCGTTCCCTTTAGAACAAAAAAATGTATTGATATTACAAAATTGAATTGAAAGATAAATTCAACTTCAATTTATTGTTATTCTTATGATTTGTAGATTTATGATAAATAGATAATTATTTTGATGAAATATTGCTTTTCTGAAATCCTCTCAGGACAAAATCAAATTATTTAGGAGAAAAATAATAGTAATAATTTTACGTTCTGAAGTGTTGGTTATTAGTCTAGTAGTTGTAAATAGCTTAATTTTTAAGCTCAGGATAAGCAGGTGCGTAATTAAATAAAGATATATTATGTTATGGTTAGTAAATCATTTAATAAAAAAAACTGTATAAATTATTAATTATAAAATGGATTTTACAAGTGGTGCTGAATTCTGGGCATGGTTTACAAATTTTAGCAAAATAGGAAGCAGTTAAAATACATCTTCTCAGCTTGAACCACAAGGCGCTCTCAGCCTGAAGAATTATATCTCTTTCAATATCATGCCGATTTAAAGCCTGTTTTTTAAATTTTCCATATAAACTTCCTATGCTTGCTCGAAATCGTCTGGGTTCACATCTGGCTTTTGACATACATTTCCGTAATCGACTTTGGTTAAGGGCCCTGCACTAAAGTTTATTTTTCGGCGAGGTATTTTGCGTTTCCGATTTTAATTGATTGAAAACCGCTATTGCTCTATATGTTTCAGGAATAGACCAGGACTTTTCTGGTAGGCACATTTATATAGAGCAGTTTGAGGTTTACCTGTGTTAAAACTAACCACTGCAGCATGACAACGGACAGAATAAGAATCCTTGAGGGAAAAATTAATGGGTTTCCCACCTACAGTCTTTACTACTATGCTGTTGAACTGCTCTGCACGGTTCGTGGTAAAGTCGTGGAGCAAACTTCGAGAATGATAAGCCAGCTGAAAGATATTTCGTTGCAGTTTTAACATCAAAGTTTTTGCTTCAAGTGTTTGATTTGTTTCTTTTTTTCTCTCTTCAGTGCAGTAGTACAAATCACATTCACTGTGATCTCCAAAGATGTGTTTGCCAGTGCCGCACTGAAGATCTTACTGCTGTTCTTAGCCGAATCAATAGCTCGGGTGTCAACAATTTACGCTCAGACAGAGGGATAGACGTAGAGGCGTAGGGTAGACTGGGTACGGTTGTGCCAGGGTACCGTTGTGACAGTCGCTGTATTGTCGAAAATATAGGGATTAGCGGGGGGCGTGCAAGGGGAAAGACGGGCGCCTTGCACGTCTCAACCTGTGTCACAGTGTTGCGTCATCCGACGCGCAGAGTGTAAGGGACCAGGAGCACATTTTGATTTTTGAATGCAAAAAGTAAGTATTTCGATTCATTATTATTTCGTAATTGCTATTACATGTATACTGATAGGGTATTGAGTGTTGTTCATCGATATAAATCAAATAGTAGCAGTGTAATATCAGTGGTTACATTTATTGTAGGCTATTTTGTTTTGACGTGGTGGTGTTTCTTTTATTAAAACGATCTGTGGGTACAGTTGTGACATTTTTACTGGGTACGGTATGTGACATAAGTAAAAGCGGTTGTTTATTGTTTTAGATGCCTAGAATACGCAAACGAAAGACTACAAGAGCACTGTGCAGCTTGAACCAGTATGAAGATGCTTACAGAGAACTAAACGCGGGACTTCTTTGCGACAAGCTGCGGAAATGCATGATGTTAATCGCATGTCACTATTAAGGTATAATCGAATAATGCCAGCACGGGCGATACTGAAAACAATAGCATTAGCATGGGGTATGTTGCTCACAATAAAGTGTTTTCCGAACAACAAGAGCAGCAGTTGTCAAAATATTTACAGCGTTGCGCGGACATTAATTTCGGACTTACTCCAAAAGAGGTGCGGAAGTTGGCCATTGAGCTTGCAACAATATAACCTAAAGCAACCTGCTACTTGAGCTGAGAATGAGATGACAGGCGAATAATGGTTCCGTTCATTCCTGAATAGAAATCGTTCTCTATCTGTTCAAGTAGCTCAATGTAGCTTGAGCTTGAGCCTTTCAAGGGCAACTAGTTGATTATTATATAAAAATAAATAAATATTTTTTGAAATTAAAGTATTTTATTGGCATTTTAGAGTATTTTTATCTTATTTTGTGATCATAATACAGTATTTTCATCGTGTCACTATTGACCCCCAGTACTGTCACAACCGCCCTTGGGGTGGGTACGGTTGTGACAATTTACCTTTTTTTTTAAATTTCATTTTATGAACTAACCATTTGATTTAGACGTATACTTTCATGTTTATACGTTAAGCAAGAAATAAACTTCATTAGAATATATTTTTTGTTCAGATTAATAGCATAAATAAAAAGCTATAGTCAATCATTTGATAATTGTCACAACCGTACCCAGTCTACCCTATACGTTTTAAGCAATAAATTTTTTCCGTTGTAATTGTGGAGGAGATGGTTAGAACACTAAATTTTTTGGATCAAAACTCCGGGATATGGCCTGCTTTCTAATATATTCTTATATGTGCTGGGATCGCCATCAGCAACCAATATATTATAAATCAACTTCCGAGTTGCTACGGAGAACTTAAATCCTTCTACCACCAGTATTGTTGCTTCCATACTAGAAGATGAACCGACGTGATTTTTAGTGCATTTGTGAGCAGTATTCTGTTTTCCTTTTTTATTTGCGCGGGCACAAATTGCAGTATACTTATTCCGGACCCCAATGTAGAGCACCTTCCCTGTGTGGTGTCCTATAATAGCTGCAACACCGGACAATGCATTGTATTGGTTTTTATATGAGCGTTTGCTCCAGCAACAGTCTGCTTCCGTACTCATGTCGTGATCAAGAAGCTCATCCGAACGTTCTTCCGAGATATCTCTGAAATTTTTAAATCATTTATGTACAAAGTCAACATTTTTACATAATTTTACTTACAAAGAATTTTTCAAAGAAAATTACTACAATATTCCACAATACAACTCTACAATTTGGCCTAGTCCTATTCTGGCGGCGAACTACCCATTGCTCGCCATCCGCATTCTCGAGCTTGCGGTGGCTGGTAGTCGTCGTGCGACTCTGGACTATTTCTATACCAAATTTTATTTAAATCGGTTTGGTAGTTATGGCGTGAAAACGAGACATACAGATAGAGTTAGTTTTACTTTTTTTATATTAGTATGGATTTTTCATGGGGTTTCGAAAAGTAACGTCTTTTCACATTCAAGCCTATCAAAGAAATAATAATGGGACACTATACCTTGAAGACATAGTCTGATGACATTCATTTGTCACTCGTATTGTTTCTGATTGCGATTCCACTATTTCCAATTCTTTGTCAACTTTTGTGGTTGATGTTGAAGGCAGCTGTGATTCTTCGGTATCATTCTCGTGTGACATTCCCACATTCTCTTGTTGTTTCAGTGCGTTTTGCCGCTTAGCCCTGCATAAAAACGTGTGATCAATTCAAATTAAAGTGGGATTTACATTAACAACATTAATTACATGCATGGTCAAATTCATTTCACAAAACTAGTTTCAATACAGTAAAAGCTCCATATATGATAAATGTTTCATAAATATGCTGCGAATACAGAATAACAATAAAAAAACATTTCAACTGAAGTTTTTGACCATATTGTTTAATTCAATCAGGTTTAGATAATAATCGATTACAATTTTCATAACAAATTGAAAGATGAAACATATACATATACATACACATACCCAAGACAGGGTGTCTTGCAAGAAAAATGTGAATTGTCTGTAACCTGCTACGTCATTAAAAGTACCTCATTGGTAACTTACTTTTTAGCTTCATTAGCCTTGACCAAATTTCCATAATTTTTCCTTTTCTTTCCCGAATAGCGCCTTTTGTTAGCCATAATTATAATTATCTAAAAAAAAAAATGAAATCATACATAAATAATAAAATATAATAATCTTCTTAGTTATTAGAACTAATACTTTAAAATATGGACTTACCAAAGTTTTGTTATGTGAGAAAAAAAAATATTAAAACCAAAAGTATCAATACGTCTGAGTCGCGCTAAAAACTCGGTCAAACTATAATGCAATTTTACGTAGCACGCGGCGACGGGGCGGCACACGTCCTATCTCTAAAAAACCTCGGCCGGCACTAAGCGCAAGTGCGATTACGCGCTGTTTATATAGTTGTAATAAATAATTCATAATAAAATAAACAAATAAATAAAGGTAAATAGAGGTGACTACGACTGGATGTCACAATAAAAAAATCAATAGATTCCACATATTTAAAATCATCTTTACAACCTTCATAATACAAGTACAGTTCAATGCAATTAATAAACCTAAATGTTTATTGAAAATTCAACATTGGATATTTTTTCCCATTTTACGTACCTGGATTAATTTCGTTAAAGTTTGAAATCTCCAACCCGCATTGAACAAGCGTGGTGCTCCTTCTCCGTGTGAGAAGAAGCCTTTGCTCAGCAGTGGGCACTAATATGCTAATGATCATGATGATGAAGTCAGTAAATCTTTCAACTACTGATTTGAGTAAAGTTATTTCGTGATTGTGTCCATCTCCTAAAAAAAATTCGCGAAAGTGGAGGTAACACATGAGATCAATGTGTTTCCTGGAACACATTGATCTCATGTGTTACCTCCACTTTCGCGAATTTTTTTATGTAGTAAATCGGGTAAATCGGCAAACGAGCAGACGGATTACCTGATGGTAAGCAATCAGCGCCGCCCATTGACACCCGCAACGGAGGAGTTACGTACGGTTACGAGTGCGTTGCCGACCCTTTAGGGATTAGGGATTTGGAGATTTAGGGATTGGGGAAGGGTCCGGAAAGGGGAAGGATTGGGCCTCCGGTAACATCACTCACACGGCGAAACACAACGCTGTGGTTATTTTACGCTGGTTTTCTGTAAGGCCGTGGTATCACTCCGGTCGAGCCGACCCATTCGTGCCGAAGCATGGCTCTCCCACACTTAAATACAATTTCGGATCACGCTTTCAGTTTTCATGCAAATATTAAACACATTAGAGGCATAGAATAAATCACCCATGTCTCTAAGGTGTATTAATTTGTGAAAGAATTGTTTCTCTGTTGCACACAAGTTCTTTATACACTTTACCAATTTACTGACAACGAATCCCGAAATATATCCTACTATTTGCTGCATAACACAAGAAGATGGATTCTCATCCAATGTAGAAGAAAGTTTATTGCAATTTGTATGATATTTTTGAAAACTTTGCTGTACGTAACCTGTATTTAAAATGTCTGATTCACTTAAATTTTTCTCTTCACTGTCATCAAAACGATAACCTATCGAGGTGTTATTTATTTGATCGAGTGATAGAGCTCTAGATAGTATTGGTATATCATGAAGTGGAATACAATTGCCAGTTTTTGAACCCAGTTCCAAATGACAAAAAGTTTTTTAAAGCTTGCTTTGAATTGTCGACTATTCGGGTTTTTAATATGATATTATATGATGTTAATAATATCAAATAATATGACTTCTAATAGCGCCAAAAAACAGCTCAACATGGTCCTGACGGAATTTTTAGGCCAATAAAAATTAAAGTATGTCATTTTCAACTAAAGTGTTATATAATTATGTAAAGCTACTGAAGCTACTGATGTAGGTCAGTAGTCCCAGCGATTCAGTATTATTTTGTGTCTTAATTAACGGTACTAATTTATTCAAGAACACTGTTGATGATTCATTCCCAATTTTAACAGTTTTTTTTGTATTGAACTTTAATGGACAGCAAATACTCTTTTGCTTTTGAAAGAAACTGCAATATTTGCAAAGAATTCCTTTTACTAACGGGTTTTTAAAGTGTCAATAAAATATCTGAATTTTGGGTCAATGAAGGTATTTAGTTATTGTACTGTTCGTGCACTTAACTAATATCGGCTCACTGCCTAACTCGCCGCACGCGCGTCCTTCTCGCTCCGTAGCTCCAAGCAAAGTGAGTGAGGGAGGGGGAGTATGCCCCGCTCCCCCACTATACTATAGCGCGCGGCGTGTACGCATGAGACGACAGAACTATATAATTCTACAAACACTACATCTCTTCCTTATTTTAATGAAAGTTTTAAATATAATAATAAACTTTTATTATATTTAGTAACATCTTTATTAGAGCATCATAACAACCTTCTACATTTAATTGACATCCCAAAGGTAATGTATTCTTTAGTTTAAAACTATTTTACGGAGCATCCATTACCTTTTTATTTACTTTTCAACTATCATAATCAACTAACGTTTACGATTCAGCATAAAATTAATAGCATCAATAATCTTTTCATAATTCTGGTTTTAAGAAACATTTCGTATATAACGAACTAATTTAATACTTCCTTCACTTCCCAGTTAACCTTTTATCATTAACATTTAACCTCATAACACTTCGCTTGTTCCTGTTCCTAACTTTCCTCATAACCATCGCTTTTCTATTAACAATTAATCAAATATAACTAACCCTATGCTTCCTAGTTCTTAATTTTAAGCATAACCTAAATCAAAACATCAGATTTTCATCTATTTTAGTAATTTATTCTTCGTTGGCCAGTTCTTTGCTTGTAATTTATTACTTCTTAAACTATAATTCTTCTAGTGCTCTTCTTCTCTGTCTGGACCTTCTGTTTCGTCCTCTCTTAAAACTTTCCATTCTCCCTCTACCTTTTTTAGGTGTACTATATTTCGTCTCAAACGTTGTCCTGTTTCCTCGTTTTCTACCTCAACATCGCCTCCCATTCGTGATTTAACTGTATATTGTGTTGGTTCATAATTTGTACTAAGTTTATTTGCTTTGTTCATATCTTTGATATATACTTTCTCTCCAGGTTCTAGGTCAATATCTTGTGCTTTCCTTCTTCTGTCCGCATACTCTCTCCCTCTTTCCTTCTGTTCTCTGTCCTTGTCTCGTAAGTCCATGTCATCATCCCTATGCTCAACGTCATCGATCATAGGTATTTTATCCCTGATTTTCCTCTGGAAGAACAACTCTGCTGGTGTTTTTCCTGTGACCGTATGGGGGGTATTGTTGTACATAGTCAGATAATCGACTAACGATTCTCTCCAGTGAATTTTATTTTCAGCCTGGCATATTCGTAGTCGTTTCAGTATACTTCTGTTCTGGCGCTCGACTTCTCCGTTTTGTTGCGGCCAGTACGGAACAGAGTGATATAATTTTATGTCATTTTCCTTACAAAATGACTTAAATTGTTCGCTAACAAACTGTTTTCCGTTATCAGCCATTAAAGAAACTGGATAACCGAGCCTACTGAAAACTTCCCTTAGGAGTTTTATCATTTCCTTACTAGATATATCTCGACAAATCTTTATTTCTTGATATCTAGAGTAATAATCGACTACTACCAAAAGATAATCGTTGGATGGTAATGGTCCTAAAAGGTCGATTGCAATATCAACCCATGGGTGTGATGGCAATTCTCTTCTTTTCAAAGGGTGTGGTGCATTAGGTACAGACACGAGTGTGCATCCTTTACATGATTTAACCATCCTCTCCACATCTTGGTCGTATCTAGGCCACCACACTTTTGTTCTGAGTCTCGCTTTCATTGCCACAATACCTGGGTGTCCTTCATGCGCCGCTGATAGTACTCTGTTCCGTAATACTTTTGGTATAACGATTTTAGTTCCTCTGAGTAGAATTCCTCCGTGAAAGCAGAGTTCATTTTCAATCAGCTTGTAACATTTTACAGCTGCATCCCACTTACGCTCATTAACACCTTCTTTAACTTTTTGAATTTCTAGATCTTCATTAGAACAACGTTCAATATCGCTCAATGATACCGCTATGGGTCTAACATACTCGATTATGTTTTGTACATAATCAATATTTGGGGCACTATTTTCCGGGGTTAGTTTACATAGTCTAGAAAGTGGATCAGCAATGTTGTTTTTCCCCGGGCGATAAATAACTTTATACTGGTATGATTGTAACCGGAGCATCCATCTTTCGATTCTCGCACATGGTTTTGACTTTGGACTAAATATCACTTCCAGAGGCTTGTGATCAGTCACCAAGTCGAATTCTTTTCCGTAAAGGAACATATGGAAGTGTTCTACCGCCCATACCAGTGCTAATGCCTCTTTTTCAGTTTGACAATAGCGGCGTTCGCAATCGGTAAGGGTTTTATTCCCAAATGCAATAACACGTGGTCCAGAATCATTTTCCTGTACTAGAACAGCACCTATAGCAACCGGACTTGCATCGGCAAATACAAGTGTTCTATCTTGTACATTATAATAGCCCAAGTCAGATATGTCAGCCAGGTCTACTTTTAAAGAGTTAAAAGAAGCTTGCTGACTTTCTCCCCACAACTCACGTATATCAGCGTTTCTACCAAATTTATTACGAAGCAATTGTTTAAGAGGTTCTGTTTTGGTAGCTAAGTTGGGAATCCATTTGCCCACGTAATTTATCAAGCCCATAAAGCTCTGTAATTCAGAAACCGTTGTAGGAGCCCTAAATTTTTTAATTGTACTTAAGTATTTATCTAATGGTCTTATACCCTGTTTAGAAAGTTTGTGGCCTAAGAATTCTACTTCGTTTGTACTAAGAATACATTTTTCATGCCTTAATATAATATTATTGGTTTCTAACACTTGAGTGACTTTTTCAAGTCTGGCATCATGTTCTGTTCGATTTTTCCCATACACCAAGATGTCGTCAATGAAGTTAATAACCCCTTTACAAGGTAAGAGAATACGCTCAAGAGTTTTCTGAAATATTTCCGGAGCACAAGAAATACCGAACATCATCCTTTTGTACCGGTAGAGACCTTTGGCTGAGATGAATGTTGTGATGGATCTGGAATCTGGGTGAAGTTCCAATTGGTGGAAAGCATCACAAATATCCAATTTACTGAAAATGACCGCATCTCTTATCTTCGGTAGCAACTGATCCATGGTTGGTAACGGGTGGTTTTCGCGTTTTATTGCTGAATTTGCACGT